AAGAGCTAACACAACTCATGTTAAGAAACTGTAGATCCTTAATTAGACTTCCAATGCTAAATGGGCTTTCTAATCTCCAGGTTCTTGATCTTTCTGGTGCTATCAGTTTAAAGGAAACCTACGATGACATTTTTGAAACTGCACATAGCCTTAAAGTTCTTGATTTATCTGAAACTGGCTTGCATGCCCTACCTTCCATCACTTGCAATCTTTTCTCATATTTTGCTAAGAAATTGTACAGCACTGACGAAGCTGCCAAGTACAAAAGCTTGTAGAGATCTTGAATTACTTGATCTCTCTGGTTCCTCTAATGTAGTTGAAATTGAAGATCAATCCTTTCAACATTTGTGGTGTCTTCGTTGCCTAAACCTCTCAAGTACCAAAGTCCAGTCTCTACCATCACTCTCCCACCTTCTTAACCTTCGCTTTGTCATTTTAAGGGATTGTGAATTCTTACAGCATCTTCAAGAAATGGAAGGACTTGCAAGACTCGAGGTACTTGACCTCACTAATGCACGTTCTCTAACAGGTTTTGATTGCAATGAGTTCCAAAATATGAGCAAGCTTATCCTATGTGGTTGTTCCTCACTTAATGAGTTGCCACATTTCCCTAAAAATCTTGAAATGATTGATCTTTCTGGTTGCACTAATTTGTTATTAATTGGTCTTTCCAATAGACTCTGGGGTCTGTCTGAACTTCGGATACTCAGGCTTTCTGAAATTCGGGATGTTTACCTTCCCACCATAAAGTCTCTATCAAATCTTGTTGAGCTTAATATTTCTAATCTAGGAGTTACTCCTAGAGAACACTCCCTGAGTAATTTATTTCATAATAGGAGGAACCTTTTCAACGTGACTTATACTCCCCTCTACCCAGATGTTTTCTCCCCAAGTAACTTAACCCAGTTGTCACTGAGAGGGTGGTCAGACATGGAAGATGTGTCAGCCTTAAAAACGCTTACGAGCCTTAAAGTTCTTGATCTTTCCAAAACAGCAGTCAAACGCCTTCCTTCCCTGAAGTTCTTATGCAACCTCTGCCAGCTCTTGCTAAGAGATTGTTGGGGCCTGGAGAAGCTGCAGCATTTGGAATCTCTTAGTCACTTGGAGGTTCTTGATCTTTGGGGTACTGGGATAAAAGAATTTCTCTATGAGATCTCAGAGCTGCCTCGCCTTAACAGCCTTCATCTCCCCCTCCTGAAGGAATCTAAAGAACTTGATTGGAGGAGGATAAAGCGCATTCCTGAGGAACTAAATTGGGTTGATTGTGACGTCTTTCGGGCGACAAAAATATTTCCATTGAGTGTAAATAATCCCCACGTAATGGTTCGTGGCAGCAAGTTTTTTGAATTTTTGGACGAAAATCCCACGTTATGGGCTGCATACTTCAAGCAATTTGAGTTCTCCGTTTTACCTCCAATAAAGCAAGGTGAAGGTGGAGATTTCTTTAGCCACAGAGATGAAGTCAAATTTAGAGATATCTACACAAGAATCAGATGTTTTCCTAGGTACTTGGAAATCCACAGGCAGTCTCTGGAAATTCGGTCTTGCAGTCCCTTCCTCGGTCTGCAGGGTGTTCTCAAGCGTGCTCGATATATATGTATACGAGATAATGCAAATATCAGTTGCTTATATGAATTGGGTGCAAACAATATCAGCGCAATGAGTGGCTGTTGCATAGAGAGATGCACTAACATGGAGAGCGTTTTCGGTAGAGAAGAGGAAGCTATTGGAGCATCAAACAAACTTGAGATTCTGCAGATTCTTAACCTCCCTAATCAGAAGAGCATACGCAACAAGAATTTCCAAGTTGAGAGATTCAGTAATCTTAAGCACCTGTATCTAGAATGTTGTCCACTGCTTGAAACTGTTTTCTCCTTGTCCTGGCAACCAATGAACCTTCAGACTCTTCAGATTAGGTTCTGTGATAATCTCAAACGTGTGTTTGAGTTTGATGGAACAACGGTGTGTTCAATGAAACATCTAAAGATTCTGCATTTGTTTGAACTGCCAGAGTTGAAAAGCATTGGAGCTGCCTTGCCTTCTCTTGAAAGATTTACAGGGGGAGAATGCCCAGAACTTGATGACTTTTTCACATGCTTCTTTCTTTTTGTTCGGGCAATACAAAACTGGACTATGACCATAAGTTCTGATGACAGTCAGGCCTGTCTTGGGTCGCTGAAGTTGCCTCCCCGAATAAAGCACATGGCCTCTCAGAAAAATAATGAAATTTCACATGAATGAACACTTGGAGAACTTTGAAAACTAACTCCAGGTTTGTTATGATTGCAGTTTTATGTCATTGTAT